ACGGGCCCTTGGAGGCCGGCAGCAAGGTGTCCGCTGGCCGGGATGCGCTGGAGGCCGTCAGCACCTCGCGGAGCACCTCGGCAGTGGGCAGTGCCGCAGCCCGGCTGGAGGGCAAGACCTACTGGACTGAGTTCCTGGTGATGTGCGTGCTCTTCGCCACGGCCGTGCTCGTGCTGGCCCTCTTCCTCCTGCACCGGCACCGCGACGGCATGAAAGCCTTGCTGGAGCCCGCAGACCCCGGCCGGCACCAGAAGCCGCCCCGCAAGCCGGTGGAGAGCCTGCCCCTGAACGGCAGCAGCCTGCCCAGCGCCGTGCCCGAGCACAAGGGCTACCAGGCCCTGCAGGACAACTACATCGTCAGCACCCCCGTGCACGAGCCCCCGGGCACCACGCGCACCTTCTCCGAGTCGGAGAAGAGGCCCCTCCACGTCCGGGACAGCTTCGTGGAGGTGTCTCCAGCCTGCCAAAGACCCCGGGTGCGCCTGGGCTCTGAGATCCAGGACTCGGTGGTGTGACGGGGGCTGAGAGCCCAGCCCCCTTGCGCACGACTGCCTCTGCTCTGCTGAGCCTCGCCGGCCCGCGGCGCCGCGGCTGGGATCGGTGTTCGTCTGTGTGTGCATGCCCGGAGCCCGCGCCCGCCACGCCATGTGCTCAGCTGCCAGGGCCCCCCGGGGGCTGCCCGGGCACCACCTCAGCTCCAACCCCACGCCCTGGGATGGGTCTAGGGGCTCCCAGCGTGGAGGGGCATCGCGTGCCTTCCAGGGACGGGCAGGATTCCTCCCGCATCCCTGCCGCGGGATGGACACGGTGCCCGGCACGGGCTGCCGGCGCGGCCCAGGACCCGTCTATGCAGAGGGCGGGGGGGGTCGGCCGCAGCCCCCCCAAACCCTGACTCACTGTGACGTCCCGCTGCGGGACTCAGAGCCACGCATGCGGCCGGGTGGTGCCAGAGCGCAGCGGCCCCGCGGCATGTGCTGTGTGTCCGTGCTTGGTTCGGTTTTAATATGTTGAAAATGTGAATTGTGTCCTGGGGAGGGGGGGGGCCGCAGGCAGCGGAGCTCACCCCGTGCAGGGCTGGCAGGGCCCGGGCCCCTCGCCCCTGCGCTCCCCGATGTGCGTGTGCAGAAACGTCTGTGGTTTTTACATAAAGTTCTGGTGTCTCCTTTGTACGCGTGTGTGCTGCTGCGGCTGGCGGGGCTGGGGGCCGCGCCCAGAGCCAGGACCAGACCCCCAGCGGGACCCAGCTGTGGCACAGGGATGTGGCGCTAGGGCAAGGACCCGGCACACAGCATGGCGCTGCTCAGCAGCCCTCGCGCCTGGGAAGCAGCGAGCTCTGCACTGAGCTGGCGTGCTGGGGCAGGATCCCCCCCCGGGACCAGCACTGCCTCGCTCCCGGCCGGACCAGTGCGCCCAGCTTCCTGCCCAGCCTGTTCTGGGACATCAGAAAAGCCACCGGAGGCGTCGGCTGGTGCCGTGCCAGCAGACGCAGCCCCTGGGGCCGCAGGCCGCGGCTGGCAGATCCCATCAGCGCTGCGGGGCACTGAGCTGGAAGGGCCGGCACTGCCGGGAGCGAGGAGCTGGGACGTGAGAAACGTCTGCGAGCCGGGGCCAGGCTCCAGCAGCACCAGGCGCAGCGCTGGGGGAGGCCGGGAGCCGCGGGCTCCCCGCACGGGGCCGTTGCAGCGGCTGGCAGCCGGCCAGGGCGAAGCCCGCTGGATGAACAGACACAAAGCCCCGGCGCTGCTCGCCCCAAAGGTAGCTGCCTGCCCTGGATTTCCTTTTGTGCCTCCTGCTTAAGAGCCGAGCTCTTTGTGCAGCGCCCGCTGAGCGCGCTGGGAAACAGCCGCTGGTGCTGCCGAGGAGGGAGGCGTCCCCCCGAGGATGGAGGTGCCCCCCGAGGGTGGAGGTGTTCCCCGGCAGCGCCTGGCCCCCCACAGGACCCATTCCCATCCCTGGGAGCTGCGGCTGGCACACGCAGAGGGGCCTGGCAGGAGGCCGCGTCCCCAGCACCCCTCATGGCAGTGGTCCTGCAGCTCCGGGGGCTGCCCCCCCTCCTCCATCCCCCGGGGCGAGACAAAAGCAGCAGGGCCAGGCAGAGGGTGAAACCAGAGCCCTTTATTTGTCCTCTCCAGAGCACAGAGAGGAAGAGGCCAGGCGCTCCTTGCACCATGCTGAGCAATGGCTGAATGCGAGCCCGAGGAGGGGCAGAAAGGAAAAGAAAAGGAAACCCAGCCCCTGAGTGCGCTGATGCTGCGGCAGAGTGCGGCTGCGGCTCCTGCTGCCCCGGGGCCAGCCCTCCAAGCAGCAAGGGGCAGCTCCGGAGTGGCACGAGAACAGCATCGCTGCTGGGACATTGTATCTGAGGTGGATTATTTCTTAGAAGAATCCCTGTTGTGCAGGAAGGCCCCGAGGAAGAGCAGTGGAAGGCACAAACTGGTACTGTGGGCGGTGGGGGGGCTGTGCTCGGTGCAGCGTGGCCGCAGCCAGGAGCAGCTCTGTGCCTGCCCCGACCCACCGCAGAGCTGTGCTTATGAAGGGCTAAAATCTGATCCTGGGGGAGCAGAGCTGCTGCCTGGTCTGGTGGACGTGTCCGGGACCGTGGAAGGCAGCGTCCCAGAACCACTCATCGGCTGCAGAGCCCTGCGGACACCTGCTGGGCATCGGAAGGGAGCAGGAGCGGAGTCCTGCCTAAGGCACTGCGGTACTGCTGGGGCGCAGGGCCCTCTGCCGCCCTGCTCGCTGGAAGAGGAAATGTCTGAGACCATGAAGAGCTGTGGTAGCCGGAGAAGCAGTTCTGCTGGAGAGCTGCAGGGCTCTCACAGGACGATCTTGAAGGAGCTGCAAGAGACACGACAAGTTCTGCATCTCCTCACTGTGCTGCAAGCGGGCGGTGTGCGAGCAACCCGTGCTCTGGGGACACATCACCCTGTGCCAGAGGCCTCTTATCATGGCATGAAGCTCCCTTCACTGTTACAGGAGACCTCGTAAGGGACAGGCTTGCCCTACTGCTCCCGTGAGAGCTCTGCCCCAAAGCCAGCACAGCAATCGGGGTGGACTAGCCCCGGAGAGAGCCCCCTGGGACTGCGCCACTGCAGGCCACGGTACCTGACAAAGTCTGGGGAGCGGGAGACGACGTGCTGGAACTCGGAGAGGTTGATGGTGCCGTCCTTGTCAATGTCTGACTCCTCCAGGATCTGCAGGGGAGAGAGAGAAGCAGTGAGCTCTGCGTGGCCAGCACCACACAGCGACCCCTGCCCAGCCTGATGGTCCTCACGTTCTCGATGAGCTGCTCCATCTCCGCATTGCTCAGAGACACCTCCTCGCCTTGCCCCGTCAAGCAGTTGACCAGCTTCTCCAGGTCCTTTCTGGACAGAGTCCCATCCTCGTCGAAGTCTTTGGGGAGAGGAAAGTTACATCTCGGCAGGGCCCCCGCGCCTCGAGTCAGAAGCACTCATGCTTAGGGAAGGGGGGGCCTGGATGAGCTGCAGGCACGGCGACCCTGCACTGCGCATCTTATGCACGCCCTGCCGAATGCGTGGTCCCCGCAGGGAGTCACCCTGTGGGCACCCTGAGGGCCCTGCCAGCCCTTGCAGGCTGTCCCCAGCCACAGGGGGAGGATCCCAGAACACTGCGCCTGCCCCTCGAGTTACCAAAGATGCGGAAAGCGTAGTGGGATTTGATTTCCGGGGTGGCGGAGTCGCTGAAGGCACTCAGCATGTCGAGGAAGTCTTCAAAGGACATGCTGTCATCCCCATCCTCCGAGGTGGAGAAGACCCTGCAGATCCGGTGCTGGAAGGGGTTTGCCTGCCGGGATGGGGGGGCTCAGGGCAGGCTCCCAGTGGTGCCAGTCCCCGTGGAGCACTGCCCCGCACCCCCGGGGTGCCCCGCGCTGCCACCAGGCCATGGCACACAGTGCAGCGCTGCCACCCCAGGCAGCAGGGCCCTCGGCCCAGTGGCACAATGGGGACAAAGGATCCAACTGTGGGCACGGCTGATATGGGGTGGGCGATACGCTGCCCCAGTGTCGGTCAGAGCAGCACGGCAAGGACTGAGCATGGGCACCACGGGGGTCCCGAGGGGTGAGCGCTGCCCTGCCCAGACGCAGCCCCCCAGGGAGCAGCTTGGGGTCCCGCTGCCGCCAGGCTCCGTACCCGCAGCTCGGGCAGCGTCAGGATGCGGCTCTTGGGAACACGCAGCGAGCAGGCATTGTCCCTCTGCTCCTTTGGCAGCAGCTCACTGAACCTCTTGTAGGCACTTGAGGAGGCAAGAACAAGAGCGGCTCTGTGCGGGAGCAGCACGGGGCACCCCCCGGGCCGGGGGCAGCGCGGGGCCAGCACCGGCTCCCGGCACCGGCCCCGGGGGGCGAGGACCCGGCCCCGCCGCCCTCCCCCGCGTGCCACGGGCGGCCCCGCTCTAACCGGGCCCCGTGCCCGGGGCGGCCGCACCCAGCGACCTTCGGACCGAGCCGCCGGCACCCCGCGGGCAGGGAAACGGCTCTGCCCGGCCCCGGGCCGCCCTCGCTGCCCCCCCCCTGCCCCGGGGCAGCCCCCCTCCCGCAGCCCCCCCTCGGCCCGGGCACTCACAGCAGGATCTCCTGCTTGCTCAGGAAGGTCAGCTCCTGCGGGCACAGCGCGCGTCAGCACAGCCACCGGGCGGCCCCGCGGGACCCCGAGCCCGGCCCCGACCCCGACCCCGGCCCCCCCCCCGGGGTCCCCGGAACCCCCCGGTCCCGTCCCCTCCGCCTCGAACCCGGCCCCATCCCCTGCGCCCCCCCGGTCCCGGAGCACCCCCCGGTTCCATCCCCTGCGCCCCCCGGTCTCAGCCTCCCCGGTGCCATCCCCTGCGCCCCCCGGTGCCGCCCCCACCTGGTACTCGCTCAGCGCCTCCCGGTGCAGCAGGCTGCCCGCGCCCCCCATGCCGCCGGTGCCGCTTCCGCCTCCACGTCACTGCCGCTGCCATACCAACGCCCCCCCCCGCCCCGCCCCGCCTCCGGTACCGCGGGCACGTGGGCAGGGGCGGGGGGGCCGGCACCGGGACACCGGGACACCGGCACCGGGGGCAGCTCGGGGCACGGGGCCAGCCCCGGCACCGCGGCGCTCACCCGGCCGCCCCCCCTCTCCCCAGCAGGTCCCGGAGGCACCGAGCATGGCGGCGGCGAGCAGCGGGGAGCAGCCGGGGCTGTGCAGCGGGGAGCAGCCGGGGCCGCCGGACATCCCCGAGCCCGAGGACTTCGTGTACGGGGAGGACGAGTTCGTGCTGCAGGGGGTCTCCTGGCCCGGTGCTGCACCATCCCGCTTCGACCGGGCCCTGCTGGGCGCGTGGCAGGACCGCATGGCGCGGGGCCTGTTCCGCTACCGCCTCGGGGAGCTGCCCACGCGCGTGCTGCCCGGTGCCATGGGGCTGGTGGCGCAGCTCAACCCGCAGCGCGCCACGCAGCGCCGGCCGCCGCAGGCCATCCGCAGCCTGACGCAGCCCTTTGACCCGCAGCAGTTCAACTTCACGCGGATCCGGCCCGGGGAGGTGCTGCTGTGCCTGCGGCGCCACTTGGGGGGCGACCCGCCGCCCCTGGACCGCGTGCTGGTGGCCATCAACGTCAGCCCGCTGGAGCGCGGCCACGTCCTGCTGCTGCCCGAGCCGGCGCTGGGGCTGCCGCAGGCGCTCACCCCGCAGCTGCTGCGCGTCGGGCTGGAGGCCGTGCTGCTCAGCACCCAGCCCGGCTTCCGCGTGGGCTTCAACAGCCTGGGCGCCTCGGCCTCCGTCAACCACCTGCACCTGCACGCCTTCTACCTGGCCCACCCGCTGCGCATTGAGTCGGCGCCCGCCGAGCCGCTGCTCCCCGAGGGGGGCCCGGCCCTGCTGCGGGACGTCCCGGCACCCGCGCTGCTGTTCTACACGGCGGGCACCGAGCTGCGGGCCGTGGCGGAGGCGGTGTGCGGGCTGGCGGCCGGGCTGGCGGCGCGAGGCCTGGCTTACAACGTGTTCGCCACGCGGGGAGCGCCGCCGGCGGGGGGGGCGGCCGCGGGGCTGCGGGTGCTGCTGTGGGCGCGGCGGCCGAGCTTCGAGGAGCCCGAGGAGCCCGACGAGGCGGTGCCGGCCGTGGCGCTGTGCGAGCTGGCCGGGTACCTGCCCCTGCCGGCCGCCGCCCCCTTCGCGGCGCTGTCGGAGGCCGAGGCTCTGCGCGCCCTGCGCCGCCCGCTGCTGCCCGAGCCCGAGCTGCGCCGCCTGCTGCGGGACCTGCTGCCCGCCACGCCTCGGGACACGTGACCCTTCCGGGCACGTGACCGCCCGCCCACGTGCCCGCTCGATGGTTGCCGGGGGGGGGGGGGGGGCGTCGCCATGGAGACGGCGGCGGCCCCGCAGCGGCGCCATGGAGGCGGGCGGGGGGGGCGCGGCCGCGGGGGCTGAGGGTGGGAGCCGGGCCCCGGCCCCCGGCACCGGCACCGGGCACGGCGCCGCCGGGACCCCCCCCTCCGGCACGGGCACGGGGCCGCGGGGGAAGCGGAAGAAGCGCAGGCGAGTGCGGCGGGGGGGGGGTGGCACGGGGGGGTCCGTCCGTCGGTCGGTCTGTCCATCAGTCTGTCTGTCCGTCGGTCGGTCTGTCTGTCCATCTGTCCGTCGGTCCGTCCGTGCTGCCCGCAGCCGCGCACATAAAGCCTGTCCATGCACGCCCCGTGTCCTGGTGTCTGTCCCGGGGCGCGGTGCCCCTGTGCCCCCCGCAGCAGGGCAGGACGCGAGGTACCGGCTGGGCCCTGCCCCGGTGAGGCCTCGGGGGCCCCTCCAGCACGGAGCAGGAGCTGCACGACCCCCAAATCACCCCAACGTGACGCCTGGGAACACCCGGTGGTCGGGACCGGGTCACCTCACAGCCCCCCAGGGCCGTGCTGGTCCCTGCACAGAGCCCATGCACTCTGCGGGGCATGGGTGACATTCGGGTGACATATGGGCGACACGGCCCCCTCCTGCCTACCCACTCTCAGGCAGGCTCTGGTCACACACTGAGCAGCTCTTGTTTGCTCTCTTTCAATTCCAGCATCCCGTCCATCAACCTGACCACCTGCAAGTACGAGAGCGGTAAGGCCGGGGCACCGCGGTAAGGCCGGGGCGCTGCGGTAGGGCCGGGGCGCTGCCGAGTGCCCCTTTGGACAAAACCCACCCGCAGCGAGCTCCTTGGATGCCCAGTTGGCCAGCGAGGAGTGCTGGTGTTGAATTTCCACTGCACAGTTGCTTTTGTTTCATGCATTTATTGTTTGTAACTCCTGTGAAAATCCTGCGCTTTGGGCCAAGGTGCTCAGTGCTTAAAGAGACCCAAATCAGGCAGCACTGCCAGCTCTCACCGCCCCACACACTGCATTCACCGTGCCTCTGCTTGCATCAGAGAGAGGGGTTCAGCTGGGGGCAGTCGTAAAGCGGGCCTGGTACCCGTGCCTGGGGAGACGAAGCGAGCTCTGTGAACAGCTTACCTTGAAGCAGGTGGTGGAACAGGCTGGGTCGGTGCCTGCAACGCCTCCTTGCCATTCGTCTCCAGTGACGTGCTCTGGGTAACTGGTTCCTGCTCCTCGTCCTGCTCTTCTCGGCTGCCACAAGCTGTATCTTAAAGGAACGATGGGACAGATGTAATTAATCAATTTGCTAATGACTACTCTCGCACTGCAACCACAGATGCGTTGCTGAAAGTCCCAGCCTTTAGCTGTGGTCAGCTGCAGGTTGGCTGTGCAAGGAGCACGGTTACACACAGAGCGACAGGCAGTGTGTGCTCCTCCTAGGGCTACACGTGGTTTGGTGACAGGAGGTGGGTGAGCATCCTCTGCTGGCCCCTTGTCACACGCTGTCTTTGGTACAGTGCGACGTGCAGCACGGTGCTGTGGGCTGAAAGAAGTGGGAGAAAACGAGGACTGGACGCTGTACTGGACGGACTACTCGGTCTCTCTGGAGCGTGTCATGGAAATGAAACGGTTTCAGGTAAACACCCCCGTGTAAAGGGCGCCCAGCAGGAAGAGCTCGGGAAAGGAGGATGAGAGAGGGTTAGCGGAACAGAGCGTTGCAGAACAAACCAGAAGTGTCCAAACGAGCACCCCTGCGCCCTCCTGATCTGTGTTGGCCCCAGAGCGCGCAGGTTCAGCAGCCACTGCTTCTGTTGTGGCTCTGACTTGGTGCCCTCAGCAACAGCTCAGTCAGTAGCACGGACTGGAAAGTTGCCAGCCTCTTTAATGCAGGGTGAAATAAATGGTTCTTCTGGACAAGCTGCTCCCTTCCACAAGCTGCAGTGTTTTAGGAAGGGAGAGCTTCAGGGCTGAGATGGAACGAGCAGATAAATCACACTGGTGAAGTTCAGATAAAGCGGTTCTAGTGTAATCTTATCCTTGGGCAGACGTTCAAGGCAACTGCTCGCCTGGCTTCCCGTTCTGCTGCTTCTTTCTTCATACACTGCCTGTCTCTGGGTCTCAAGGACTATCGGTGATGATTCTGTTTTTCTTCTGCACCTCTTTCAGAAAATCAACCATTTTCCTGGCATGATAGAGATCTGCCGTAAGAACCTGTTGGCTCGCAACCTTAACCGCATGCTCAGACTCTTCCCCAAAGAGTACCACATTTTTCCCCGTACGTGGTGCCTGCCAGCTGAGTGAGTGATGCACGTTACTGCAGCAGAGAACGGGGGTGTGCAATAGGAAGTGGGAAGGTCTATGCTTGACAGCTAGGGCTTGGACGTGGGGGGCCTCTCTGAGATTTCGTGTCTTGGCCTGGGCCTTTGTAACCTTCCCTGGATCTGAACAGGGCACCGAGACCAATTTCTAGTTTCACACATCTTTAATCCTGATTAGATTGAAATAGGCTGTGGAGTAGCACCTGCCACAACACACGCCTTGCTGCTTGGCAGGCTGCAGGCCAAAGGGCTAAATCTCAGAAGAGGGACCCACCCTGAAGGACAAAGGGCACTGGGCTAGGTGGGAGGTGTAATACCTGTGCTTCTGAGGATCATCGGCTCACTGGGAACAGGAGAGGTGACAGAGAAGCATGCTGTGTCATGGCAGAGGACACTGAGAGTGCAGGTCGTCGTGCTAAACAAAATACGGGTCCAGTTATGTAAACCATCATCATGTTATTCGAAGTTTGGGGCAGAAGGCCCGGCTTCGCTGATAATACACAGGCAAACAATCACAGAAGTGTAGCTGAAAGATGCCAAAGAGCACTCGTAAGTCTGGGTGGTGTAAGGAGATAAGATATCCGTTTTCAGACAGATTTTATTCATAGCATTTCCTGAAAGACGTAAAGTAGGGCTTCCCAGATACGTCCTGCAGCTGAACTCTCCTCATGTTTATGGTGGTTTTCTTAATATCTGACCTAAAGCACCTCTGCTGAAATACCAGCGCTTCAGGACTTCTCCTGCAGGCACTGGCCCAGTGGTTTGCTGGGTTTGCCAATAGGAGCAGGTACAGGAAGGCTGTTGGTACAGGTCCTCTCAGTCCTCTCCTTGCTGGGGAAGGCTAACCTAGCTCTCTCAGTCTGTCTGTCCAGGTTGCGTGTCCTGGACTCTGATTGTTCTTGGCACTGTTTTCTGGGATTTGTCCTGTTTGCCTCCCCATTTCCCTTAAATGTGGTGCCCAGTATAGAGACCGGGTTCCTCCCTCAAGAGCAAAATAATTAACTGCCACGTGGGCCTGACGCTTCAAGGCATCGTGCTCCCGGTGGAGCTGCTCTTGAAGATCAGCCATGTAGCATGATACGTGAGCTCAGCCCCACAGCACCATAGTGTGAATATCCAAACGTTATCAGAGAGGTGAGGGGCTCTCTTTCTGCAGCTTCTAACAGTCACCCCTTCGTTGTACAGCTACGGAGACTTCCAGGCCTACAGGCGCAGGAGGAAAACCAGAACGTTCATCTGCAAGCCAGACAGTGGCTGCCAGGGGAGAGGCATCTTCATAACACGTAATGCAGAGGAGATCAAACACGGCGAGCACATGATCTGTCAGCAGTATATCTCTAAGGTAATGGAGATCATCTTGAAATACAGGTGGAGGATTGCAGCTTCTTAGCTCCTCCAGCTCCCTGCCTCCTCCCTGTGCCCTTTGCCCCACGTCTCCTGAATCTGCCACGGGCCCCGGTGTGGCTGCAGTGCAGCAAAGCCAAGCTTGCCCTTCTCGCTGCTGAGCTGCCAGGAAGTGGCACCAGCAGTGCACGCAGAGCAGCTGACCTCCAGGATCCGCGGCACGCCTCGCAATGTTCCTTTATCTCATGCTTGCTCCTGCCTTTTTTCTCACAGCCTTTCCTTATTGATGGCTTTAAATTTGACATGCGTATCTATGTGCTGGTCACATCTTGTGACCCGCTGAGGATTTTTGTCTACAAGGAGGGTCTGGCCCGGTTTGCCACCATGAGGTACATCGATCCCAGCAGGAGAAACCTGGTAAAAAAGGGAGGTTTACAAAAACCTCACATAGTATCTATAGTTTTTAGACCCTAGTTTGTCCTAGGGGCATTCCAGAACCCGATAAGGCGGGTACTGGTGCATTTTATGGGATTCAGCTTTCTTTCTTTCCTCTTCTGCCCTCCCTCTGCATCTCCTCCCCACAGAAGTTATTTTGGGAGTGTCTGAAGTAGATCTACTCCCAGGTCCCACATCTGGGCTGTTTACTGGCATTATCACAGAATCTGAGAGGTGTTCAGATTTGGAGGAACGTTGGATGTTCTTGAGTCCCACATTCTGCTCTAAACTGGGTCAACAATAAATTCAGATCTGGTGTCTCTGAGTTTCACCCAGTTAGGTGTTGGAATCTCACACAGATGGAGACTCCACAATGTCTCTGGGCAACACTGCTACTGCTTCTTGCCTGTGTGGGCATTCTCAGGTCTGCACCTTTCTATGTCTGCCTGCTTCAGGTAGAAGAGGGACCTGAGAATTACCTGGTGGAAGTGGAACAGCCTAGGAAAGACGGGAAGGAGAACAGGGCAAGAAAGCTGTAGACCATACCCATGCCCATCTCTAGGGAGGGGTCCATATCCTATAAAATCCCAGAGGAAGACAGACTCTAGTGTTGGATTGCTGCGTTCTGGCCACGGGCTGGTGTGAGACACCCTGGGTTTCTGTGTACCCCCTTGTCCCAGAGCTGCGTATTTGTACACCCCCCCTCACTCCAGTACATTTATGTATTGGAGAGGTCTTTTGCTTTGGATGAATAAAAGAAAAGGAAGAATCTGCAAAAATGTGCTGCAGCTTCTGCCCTCAGGAGTCCCTTGTTTTCTGGTGGGGCCGCAACTGGAATGGCATCTGTGGAGCTTACTGCCATGCTCTCCCCCAAGAGACAGGACAGTGGCAGGGAGCAGGTAGAGCTCTGTTTGCTCTAACTTATGGCTAGAAATGAATCACCAGCATAATTCACTCCTTGCTGCAAGCCACTGACATGGAGAGAGAGGAGGCAGGGGCGGGTGAGGCTGGTGGCTGGGTTAGTGCTAATGGGGCTGTTGTTTCTGTTTGCACTCTGCAGCTGAGAGTTAATGAAAGGTCTCTTGCGGTTCCTCTCTCAGGGTGATATCTGCATGCATTTGACCAATTATGCTATCAACAAACGTAATGCAAACTTCATCCAGGATGACACGATGGGCAGTAAGAGGTATTGTCTCGTTCAGGTACCACGATGCCTGGTGCACACCCTGCAGGAAAGCTGTGCTGG